TTCGTCCGAACGGATCATGTTCATACATACTCGTCAAACTGACCATATCTTCCTCTTCCACTACCATATATAGGAATGGTACCCTACTTAAGATCGACTTTTGAACAATTTCTTTGTCTTGGTGCAAACGATCTACCGTACAAAAGCGCTGTCGGCTCCTGATGACCAAAGTCAAACAACACTCAACGTCTGTGGGAAGTTACTTTTAATCTTAGTGGCCGCTGTACTCCTCTTACACTGGAACCAATACTTCCGATTTGATCTGGGAAATAGGAAATCAAAGACTAGCCTACTTTTTGCCGAAAATAATGGACCGGGGGATGATTGGTAGAGATCTCATATCTCAGGTACCTTATAAGGTCGAAATAACTACTCGGCATTTTTGTTAAATAATTAAAGGCACAAGGCAATTTGTCATCGGTGGGAAAAGTTGGTGATTCTTTTAATGAGTGGGCAAGGATAAGTCCCACGGATTGTGCAATCGGGGCCTTTAAGCATATTTTAACAATTTAACTCAATACCCAAGTGTGAAAAAATAGGTGGTCGCGGTGGATTTGGATACGCGATAGCAAAGGCATGGCTTGGGTGCCACCAGCTCCCTGACCCTCTGAACTCCGAGACCCACGTCGACAGTCTTGAGTTTTTTACATATGGATCAGGTTGTTCGTCCGCTGTACGATATTTATTTATCATTGTCGGAGTTAAGTTCGGAGGATCGAATAATGTAATACGCCGTCCGGCCGCGTCTTTGAGCTCAACAGAGAGCCCCATCAGGCCACAGCATAGCGGTCACAGACATATATATATATATATATATATATATAAACTTGGAAGAACCGACAAAGACAAGAGAGACTGGGATGAGCATTTCTGGCTTAGTAATCGTCGTCGGACAGCCATGCCCAAATTCAAATTTGCACTACTGCAGTTCCCAACCCAGAAACTTTGACGAGGCTATCCGACCCCAGGGTTACGTATGGCCGGCTGACGGCGGTTGACATGTCAGAGACTGCCGTCCCACTCCCCCCTTTTCATCTGCAGATATTAATTCGAGCTGTCTGCGAATCACCTAGTGGATACTAGATTGCATAGAAAATTCTGTTTGGACTCTCAGTCTACTATATCAAAATAAGAGGATCCCATACGTGGCAATAAAGCGAGAAAGTTACTTTTTCCAGGTGCGAAACACTCAAGACTCTCGCTTGGGGCTGGAGTCGGATTAGCCGGCGGCGAAAAGGTTATCACTTCAGCGTATGCCGTTTTCTTCTGTGGTATTCAGTGCGCAGTTAACAGTGGGTACTAGGTCGTGAAAGTTAACCTGGTCTTGGGGATTGACATAGAGATCCTCCGGTAAAGGGTGATGAACGACCGCCCAAGGGTTTGGTGGACGGTGTCGATTTTCAGTCGGTCATCATGGTAGGCATCCATCAATATGGTGAAGAGCATGGTACTAAAGAGGGTGAGAGCGAGTCAGCAGTCCATTTCCATGCCATTTGTCGCCGCGAATACTTCCGAGTCACCCCAATGCCCATGGCGCGCGCCATCATCCCGTTGCGAAGTTGTCTCACAGACGGAAATCTTCTCAACATCTGTCGCTTAAAAGCATCTTTAAGGGTATCCAGGGCCAGCTTCAACGACCTACGGTTCGCGGATGACTGCGCACTAGACACCACGGGGACAGAGGACATGCAGCGAGGTGTGAACTTCTTCGCCTCCGGCTTTTATAACTTCGAAATGATCCTCAGTAGGGAAGAGATAGTGATTATGCAGCAACCGACATCAAATGCTGACTACAATGAACCCTGTATCGGTGTCCATAGAGCTCAGCTCACAGCAGAGGAGAGGTTCACGCACCTTGGGAGTACGATTCCAAGAAACACCAAAATCATTGAAGAAATCCTAAGCCGATCTCCAAAGTCAGCCAAAACTTTGGCCGACCGAAACACTCCGTCTGGAACCGTCGTGGCACACTACGCAGCATAAAGATGAGAACAGGAAAGACAGTTGTCCCTTCAGCGTTCTTTTGCGCGACGGAGGCGTGGATTATTTATAAAGTCAAAGAAATTAGACTCGACCTTCTTCACTACAGCTGCCTCCGAAGATTACTGAGTGTGAGGTGACAGGAAAGGATCACAGACATTGAGATCGTGGAAAGAAACGGTATTCTCAGTCTCCGCGCCACGCTGATGCAGATACGACAGTCAGGCTACCGTTTCTGATGAAGTCCATCGTGCGCTCTACTTCAGGGTAGGCGCAAATATGGCGTCTTGCATGTGAGTTAGTAAGCTTACTTTGCACCTGCCGCACTCTCTCTGGCGGTGGTCGCGCACTCCTCACTTAGGTAATTATTTTGCCCAGACAGAGTCTCAGCACATAATACAATGAATGGAAAGTCATTGAGCTTGTTAATTGATTGCGGACCGGGGAACCACCGTTCGAGCAGCTCGCGACTCACACATTTGTCACTTCTTATGCGGCTTCCGACCTCGTCAAAACTGATGACGCTAACAGATCTGCATCTTTTTATAAACTATTTCTTGGAGCTCATCCCTTAATTTCTATCGCCTTAAGTCGTCTTCGAATATTCGCCAATATTACCACGTGTCGCACGGCTTCCAGAGACGACTGAGAAGGAAGGAAACTATCATGTGCTATTAATCCTAGCTACCTTTCTCTCAGTAACGTGCTTTTCACTTTTCATTTGCTAGTTTCTTTGAATCGTCTGAGAGTTTTGAGAATCCTGAATGCAAAGTGGAGACGGATACTTCTGTTTTGTCCTAAATAACATGGACGAAAAATCCGGACCCTGTCTTTGTCAGCCACATTTCACACTGCACGGGGCGACAATGAAACTGAGCCCCACAGCTGCACTGGCGGCCTACGTATCATGCAAACTGCGCCATATAATGGTAAATGTGCGCATGCCTTTCAAGTTTGTGAAGATTGATAGGCGAAATCACCACTTAAACATCGAACCTTAAATAAAAAAACCTCCAGCGAACGCCTCTTATTTTTTTACTATTATTGCTACTTCACTCCTTTTGCACCAAAGGGGTGATCGATGTGTGTTTTTCGTAAGCAAATCAGTGTGTGATCAAAATTTTGGAACTTCCCTATTTAAGAATCGTAAAAACGTCGAAAACTTCCATGTGGTGCCTAGCACTACCGTAAGCCAGCAAACGGCCCATAGGACAAAGCAAAAATTGAAATGTAAGAAGACGAAATGTAAACGCCTCAAATAGCAGTTGCTACGTTCATTATGCAGTGACAGCAATCGGTGACTAAGAATAACAGGAAAGGAACGGAATAAAGCGTGATCATGAGTGGCGGAGTGGCCCAAGCCGCGTGGCCTACAGAATCATAAATTTTGACGCACATTACTTAAACCAAAACTATTTTCATCGTACGATCGGAAGACCAAGTGGATTTGTAGTAGTCCGTCAAACTTAATCGAGTGATTGCCTTTGTGAGTAACATTTAACCATCAGACTGTACTCCTAATTCCTCATGAACAATGCCCATCCGAATGGTAGTATTCATTCGGTATATTCTCCTAGAAAATAGGGACGCCAGTTGGTCAGCAATGGGCGTCTTCTAAGACTGACTGTCTATTCACGGGATGGACTTCTGATGACCTGCACTTTTGATAAGCAACACTTGGATGATTGTCCACTTCTTGCGTATAAGAGGACTGCACCACAGCCTTAATGCTATGTCAGATGCGTGTTACGGCACAGAAGAAACGTTAATTCTGCATTTTTATTAGTCGGCGATGGCTGAAGTGCCAGCTACTAGCTCCTAGGGTGAACGCGATGTTGGCGTGAATCCGGGTAGTGAGAAGTTCAAATCTGCCCAAGACTCAAGTATTCTGGCCCTGTTATTTTCGCGCATCATAATAGTCCACAACGTGAAAATTAAATGGTTGTAACTACTTGAACTCTAATTTGAACATATCTACTCACTTTGGGGCGGCTTAGTATGAGTTGTTAGTTAGCATAATCCACGGTGGGTCATTTTAACAGGAAAAGTGGTAACAAGGTCATTTTCAAGTACTATACCATTTGCATTCAAATGCGCCCGTGTGTATTTTAACCACGTTATGGGAATATTGAGCGGGCTGTTTTAATGGCCAGAATCTCTGCGGCTGATAACATTTTAGAGATTGACACCAACGCAGTCAATTCCAGCAGGTTATTTTTTTCTGGGCAAAAGTACTGCTATCCCATGAAGTTCAAGCTCAATATCAATGACAGCCTCCCATGAGCTTTGGTCCTTCTAACTGTTTTTTGATTGCACTTAACTAATTTGTCTTATTTTTACTTCGGCGTTCAAAAACATTGAAACTCAAACTGCCTGTTTTAATTCACATTTACCGGCTTGTAATATCATTTAAAAACTGTGTTGCATGAAGTGCGCACAGGAACCCTCTTGTTCTCACTAGGTTTCCCTTCAAGTTAGTAGTTAGCGGTCCTGCTTTTCCATTGTCATTAGCATGTTGGTTATTTTTTGGGATTTTATTAAATGATAACCACAATTCAAACCAATATTAAGTAAAAGAATCTCACATATACGCAAATAAATCATTTTAACTTGCAGCTGTAACCCAGGCGGAAGCTTGCTACTAGTCAGAGTAAAGGTACTGTTTCGATTGTTACCATGGCTGCAGTATAACCCTCTGCACCCGCTCTACATAATCACTGTAGCACTGAGAATCTGTTATAAATTTCCTGGCACGATGGTGGTACGAGGGACCTGTACATATATGTAGACGATGAACATTGCAACGACAGTTTAACGCCCACCTGGATCAAAATAGACAAAATGAGAATCAATTTTCTGCTTTTCTCGATTTAAAGTATGATTAAGTTAATATAACAAATAAAACCTTCAGTTAAGGAATCTTGGCAGAGCGAGAGCCAAGACAAGGAAATGAAGGGTGGCCAACGCCCTCAGTAGACTAGACACTTTGAAGCGCTAGATTAAGGAAGCGAGCTCCTATATTACCGCTGTTGTTGCTGTTCCAGTGCATTTTGTTGCAAGTTGTAAGAGAGCACTATGAGACAAGCAAAAATGGTGATAATCATTTTCGAATTTGTCTGGCAAATATGTTCCGGCAGCGCGTAGACCCGGGCTCCAGCCTTTCGACACGAGGAGAGGGCGTAGACGGCATTGGCGAAGTTGTCATCCAATAGCATTGATCTGGTCGTGCTTCGCGGGGCGATGCTCTCCAGCACAGCAACAATAGGCCTCGAGGTAGCTAGGCTGGGGTCGCGGAAACTCGTTATTGGCGGCTCACCAACGGCCTGAAGGTGTTTGTTAACCCATGCCAGTATCTCAGCATCTTCGATTGGTGCAGACTTATCTGATCCTGCGGCCTAAAGAACCAAAATATGCGATTGATTGATACTCAGCCATCTACGTCTTCCCTTCCTTTGTCTTCTAGCTAGGACGTTTTTTCCCAGTTAAAAAGAAATGTCAGTGACGAAGACTAGTTGCGCGCTTTCAAGTCCTGGAACGATAGGACACTTCTGCTTTGATACCTGAAACTAGTATGGGCTGTTCTCTTTTACTAATGGTCGTGCCTCTAGCAAAAAATAGGCGAAAGCGACATGTTTAAAGTGGAAGGAAGTTAGCAGAACTGGTTTCATATTCCTTTTATTTTGAAATCCTTCTTCTGACCGAGTAGGAAGGATAGAAAGCATAAAGGGAATATAAAATGGTAAGGACAGTTACGTACCTCTCTCAGAAGCTTGTTTGTGTAAGACCTCATAAACTGGAAGCAGCTTCCCAAGACTTGCTTCTGAGCTCCTTCCCGAATGTTTTCGCCACTCACATTGACCAGCTTAAGTCCAATTGACTTGGCATACTCAACCACGAGAACACAGTTGCTTTGCTTCTGGAAGAGTTTCCGTCTTTCGTCGAAGGTCGTGGTCACTGCTTTCCAGTTTATGGTGGTTGGACGAATTATATCAATCAATTGAAGCAGGACCAGTCCATCGCTGAGGTTGCTATAGAGATGGCTCACGAATGGCGACACACCCATTGAATTCATCCAATTCCTATAGGTCTTTTCTTCCAGGGACTCCGGTTGTATTTCTAAATCTCCGGGATTCTCCAGCCCAGGATACATGTTAAACAGGGTTGCGACAAAGCCCAGGTTGAGCTTATCCCGTTGATTGGTGTCACTTGCAAGATAAATGTCTTCTGGCGATAAAAGAGTGCTGGCATCCAGAATCCTTGCGTTCTCCATCACAATGCCAGCCCTTTTCTGGATATCATACTCATCTAAGATAGCCTTGCTATTGATCATGTGAGCCTTCTTGTCTATTGGGGCTATCTGTTCCATCAGAATGGCATAAATGACTGAATCGTTGATGTCGGAATGGAAGTTGGTGAGTCTGCGGTCGCTGCCAGCATTTGCTAGATGGAAGTTTACCCACCGCATTAATAACTCTTCGGGCTTGAGAGCACTTAGTTCCTCCAGAGTCTCTCCAGGCAGCAAAAGGGCCGCCAGTTCTGTGTGCTGGGAGAGGGTTATGGTGTCGACAATGGCCTTTCGAATGAGTTGCCAAATCAGACCCAAAACCAGATGACGTTTGCCCTGAAGGATGTCTTCCGGCCCGATGTTCACAACGCAGCAGCCAATTGCAGCAGCCGAATTGATCACCAATGTCAGATTTTCATTGCGCTGAAGAAAGCATAGGAAAGCATTGTATAAGGAGTCTCGTAAACATTAACAGCTGGAACAACAGACCGTTAATTAGAAATGTTCATGGAAAAACGACCCTGGCTTTCTCTCTACCAAGTACGCTGAAAGACAAAATGGTTTTGGTTTCTTCTGTCATGCCTAATGCAAAGAAGTTTGGCATTTGAACCCTCGTTTGAACTTGTCACAATTGGGTTTCCAAATTGCTTGTCGCGTAAGATTAATTTTTATTGGCCAGCAGGGATAAGCATGCTGTAGCATGTGACCACAGCAAATCTTATTTTCCATTTGAAGGACCTTTGGCTGGCCCATTTAAACAGTAAAACTAATGTGTAATTCCGAAAATCCGCCAAATTTGAATAAGGATTTTGGGCAGTCTTGTTTTGAACGCTTGTGCACGGTTTTTTCTTTAAATACTGCTTTTTTCCCTATAACTTAAACTTCGTGGGACATTTCATAGCATGTCATATTTATCAGCATGAACAGACTAATAGTGATGACCTGAAAGAAGGATAAAATGATACGATTTAGTCATTCACAAGGTAGCCATGAACCTCGAAGAACCCAGCGTGGCGTAGATGTGGGTTACTCAGGACAGCTGATGACTCTGTGGACTCGATTTTACCGCCTTTCCACTAAATTTTAAAATGACATCAAAAAGTATCCGGCGTCGCTTTATCTTTTTATTATTTCAGATGTCAGTGCTGTGAGTAGTCTAAAAACTGTGCGTTCTCTGAAAACGCAAAGTTTAAAAACCTACTCTGAAAAGATATGTTTTCAGTTTACTTTGACGGACCACTATGACATCTCAATACTTCAAAAAATAGCAGTGCCCCTGAATTATGTTACATTTCTTTCGCCAAATATCATTAGCTCAATCATCGCGGATGTTTTGAGAGAGCGACCGTTAAAATTGGCGGATTTCTAAACAATGTAGTATTCGGACCTGCTTGGACCAATTTCTGTGTCAACGACTAAAGTGGCTAAGCACAACTTAAAAGTTGGCATGGGAAAAATAGTAATAGGTGTATAATATGAAACCGTAAAGTACAGAGAGCACGACAGTAATGATATTCAAACACTATCTGGCGAATAGTCAAAATGATAGTTAATTGGAAACATTAATTCTGATTTCCCTTAGAGTGGAGTAAAATTATCCAGCTATGTCACATGTGCTTTTTCGTCAAACTTTTATATTCTGCACCACGAAACTTTATCCGTCTATATTTGAAGAAGGACACCAAGTACTACCGAGTTTATAGAAGCCTTAGTTTACTTCATTCTTTGTATGGTGGTTTAATGAAAAGTCCACTAACCTTAAAGAGAGCACTCATGGAGTCGCCTTTCTCAATGATACGTTCATCAATTGTATTTGGAACAGCGATATTCACAATTTTGCTGAGAATTATGCCGTTTTTGCAACGATTATACAGCTGTCCATCGACCTCGATGCTGATTGGCAGCAGTCCCAGCTCAGTGCATTCTTTGTCGTCTTTCAGGTGCTTATTTATCCAATTCGTAAATGCCCTCTCCTCCGACTCGGTCACCGTATGTTTGCCACCAACGACACCGTCGTATTCCTAAAAAACATGGTACGGCAAAATAGTCTTTATTTAAATGTCTTGTTTTTCTCAACAGGGGATAACATTCAAACTCACTGAATGCCAAAAATATGCATATTATCTTGTTTTTCCGTCAAATGCACTACTGTAGGCTAGGGTAAACCAAAATCTTTTGGGATATACTTTGACCTGCAATCATTTCTAAACAATTTTTGTCAGCTGGTCGGTCATTCACTGATAATACGGAGGCTGCTCTTCGTCCCATAACCACATAGTGAGTAGATCTGAAGGTGCAGAGAGATAGATTTTGCACAATTAGATCAGCCACCTTTTGAGATTATCAATTATAAGTTGACGACCAACTTGACAAGGATCAGTGGGCTGCATAAATTAATTTGTACACAGTAAAACATCGGTTAAGCTGTGTTGGTCTTAATGAAGTTAATCGAGTCCGTTCGCTTACCTGACATTTAAAGAATTTCGTTTGAAGCATATTTTAGACGTATACATGAATGCAAGGTAGCTCGACACTTAAGTCCAAAAATATTACCGAACTTTCAACAGAGTACCATGTGTAGGCAACATGCAATTAGTATCGGAACTTCACTTAAAAAGACGATTTGAAGGGTTGTAGTCGAGGGATCGTGAATTTTATCCGTAAATATTTTAAACAGTGTACATCCTGTGAAACAAAGAAGTAATGAATACTCCGCTAGGAAGGGCAATGAAGTTTGCTAAACGTACATGTAACCGTTTACTTATACGCGGGGATGCGAAAACCTATTCCTCAGATTACTGATATTTTCTGACTCAACAGATCTCAGCGGCTTCTAGGTTCAGTTCGATAGTATACTACTATTGATAAGTGGCATTAGGAAACAAACGCGATAGAAAAAACTTGTGCACAATGAAAACGGAATTTCATTTCATTATGCTAAGTGACTCGACACTAACTTAGTGTTTGCCCTCTGAATGTAAAAAGTAGTTGATGTCTGCTCAAAAATCAGAGGCGAACGTGCAACTCTCAATTGACTCAATTATTTTTGTATTTTCTTAAGCTAATCCGGTCTACGTTATCTGGCGTTTTAGAAATGTCTCGGTTTACCGAGTAATAATTAAAACGCCTATGCTTTATGCTGTATACCTGAATGCATTTAGAAAAACTTTTAATGGCTTAACGATCAAGCAAGAGTATTTTTAGTAAACACAACTGTATTTAGAAAACTTATTTTAGAAATACCTGGATGCATAGAAGTCAGCATCATTCCTTGCTTTATACATATTTTTCTGGTCGATAACGAACAGGAGTCCTATGGATAGGCAGATAGCTATGACCTTAGCACTTTTTTTGTAAACTGATATATCAGAAATCAATTGCATGATTTTTATTTTCATTGATGGGAAGGTCATGCTTATCCGGAATGAGTCAGTCGTCCAAAAATCAATAAGTTATAGTTACCGGCTACTGGGCAACGTTTTCTTAGCGTATGAGAGAAAAAAACGTTTAGTTTATTTATAAAATTAGAAACTCATGAAAAAACGTCGTGGTTACACTTTTCACTAAAATACTTGCTTTTTGTATGACTGAAGGATTCTCTTACTTGGGACAAACCCTATTACACCTGAATATGCCCCTAATACATTAGCGTTCCATCGAGACATGATTGCGCTTAATTTCATTAAGAGCCATGCGATATTCGTTGGTCCGGATTCCCGTTGAGAGGAGCCTCTCTGAAAGAGGCGTTTTAATCTGATAAAAAAAGTCGTTAAAGTTCTAGATTTAGGATTCGACAGGAAGAAATAACTGAACTCATTTGTTGCCGGCTTAGTTTTCCCGATGTAAATTTAGCGCCTTGTCTTAAAAAACGAAAGGGTGTCATCTTCACTTATTTGATTTCGAAGTCGCTACGGTTTTAACTAGACTGCAGCCACACTGTTCCTGTAATAATCACTTCACAATCTCGACAGGCCTCATAATAACAAACTTTTAAAAGAAAAACAACGTTCCCCTTATGTGCAAAATTTAGCTCGAGCACATATCTCTGAAAAAGTAGCATGACAGTCACGTTTTATGCGTGTTTTCAAAAAATATCCAACTTATGCAGACAAAATATACTAGATAGGTTGACCTTAAACTATGAATTTATTACTGTAGGAATTTATTTTTTCAAGGCTACTAGAAAACTTTCATTAAAAGGCTAATATTCTAATATATAATGGTTTTTTTGGGATTATACTGCATGCAGCCACCATTGGAATTTTTTAGCTATCTAATCTCCCTAGAAATTGATTCGCCCACTTCTGAGAGGGGTTCGAATCAATAGTGAGCAGCCCAACGCTGCCCGTGTGATTTTTGCTAGATACTGCATTTTTAAAATTTAAGATTCTTAGTATCTTCAGAGTAGTTGCTAACCTGGAGAATACGGTAGTCATTGGGAATTCATTTACGGGTCAAACTCCTCTCAGCTATGTCATGCAGCGACGGAATATCGGCGAAACAGGTGTCTAGGCTTGTAGCCAGTACCTGTGCTGTCCGTACAGTAGATCATATAACACAAATATCGTGACTTCACTTCCATTGTTCTCCCGAGTTAAACCCTATTTTAAAATATCTATATTTCCGGCGTCCGCCTACACACGGTAAGTTTATTAATTTATTTTTTCAGGTGCTAAGCATTTCGGTGACTTAAGTGCCAAAGGCACTTTTAGAATAGTCCGTCATTTCTTTATTATCAGTGTTTCACGCAGGTTGAGCTAGACACACCCTAATTAGTTTATCTGTTCCAATTAGCCCTCGCGAGGTGTGGTGCTGCAAAATTTTCTTCAATATTATCGCGGCTTAAATGGACCAAAAATAACTGGGCCTTGTTAAAAAGGCAACAACTCTGCCCGGCCACACGTTTCAGTCATTGTATGCCAAAGTTCGCCGCAACTGTGGATTCATGGCTATCTCTTGACATGCTTGTTTAGTAAATAAGTTTTAGTTACTGCAAAATGAACCATTCTAAACTTCATTTTTAATTCAATTATCAGTTTATGCTTTGATCTGTTCCCCAACAATTGTGTGCATTTGCACAAATCCACATTTTGGGGCAGCATTTTCTGCCTCCTATGTAAAGAATTGCATAACTACAACGCACATTACGAAATAATTCAAATTATCTACTCTTTTTTCGAAGTGACCTGAAATCTAAAAAATAAAGACAAAAATATTTTAAAAATAAGAAAAAAGCGTTTTTGAGTTTGGCACGTTTAGAATACTATCTAAGCCGACACAACTTGCAGAACAAACGTGCAGCTTATTTCTCCCCAGCTCCTTAGAGAATTCACAAAATCTCCTGAATTATCAAACGACTCTAAAATACCCTAGCAGTTGAAGAAATTGTCAACACATACAGCAATGAAATAGAATCGCGATAAAATCCTTTCTTGGGAACATTTCGGTCCTCTGCCGATAAAAATACTCGTCGACAAAAGTAAACTGAGGGTGTATATCTCAAGTTAGGAGCGATGGTTGCAGAGTCATTCTTTGTAACTCATTTACATTCTATGGAAGATTATGATTCGCCTAGACATCACGTCTGAGGCATTAAAGCGCCAACGACCTGCATTCCTATGTTCACACATATATTTGATCTTTAGATTATTGTTTTTAACTTTAAGTATCAATATTGACTTGGTTTACTTTTATTCAGGCGTACTCATAGGTGCATTTCGAACCCTAAAACATAATGTGACATACTTTTCCGAAGGATATATTTGACTTCAAATTACATTTCTTCGGATGTCTAACTTCTATCTTATTTATTCTAGTCCATATATCCATTACCCTGACGTTAAACGTTCTATGCAGATAACCGGTTTTGAAATTTGGATCCTAAACTAAGTGAAATTACATTCAGACCAGAATAAATATTCAGACCAGAATACATTCAGACCAGAGCATTACATTGGAAAGGTTTGAAAAAGATAAGTAACTGCAGGTTGGTAAAAAAGATGATGTCTCGCGAGTATCAGCATTTACCGTTTTTGTAAGCAGCAGGCCTGTAGGAGCGCTGACGCGAGCTTAAAGTCCAGTATCCTACCCAAGTTTTAAAGCTACTTTTACAGAATCCAATTAAATCACTCATCTATTGGACACAGCCTATTGAATTAAGACGTTTTGCCAACCTCCTCATCCACTTTAAATCTAGGCTTGGGTAAGTTGTCAGTTATGTCAAACAATGGCTTTGGCTCCTAGCGCTTGGTCTATTTTACTTTATTTTGAATGACAGCTGGCGGATTCACCGACAAATTTCAGATACCAACGCTGCGAAAGCGTCTTCTAAGGCCACCGACTGCTCATATGCTGGCAAAGGCATGTCAGAGTAGGCAATTCGGAGTTCAATGATAAATCACACCACAATTCTCCCTTCAAAACTTTCCACATAACAGCGACCCCGAATCATACCTTTACTTCGCTGGCGCCCCTCAATAAAGTATCCTTTCGGATCTGCTTTGAGTCAATCTTCAATGTCTTGGCTCTCACGTAGAGGTTGAAGAGCTCCTCAAGATCACACAATGCACCTTTTTTCTGATTTCCCTGCAATTCTCGAAGCTCATGGCCAGCAATAGGGCATCCAAGTTTTTGTAAGGCATCACGAATTTCGTCACCTGGAATGGCCCCCTTAGTCTGGAGGTCAGGGAAGGCGGCATACAGATCAGCCAACTGTTCCTCATCGAACTGGTGGGTACCGTTGTTCATGGTGGCTTCCGTGCGTTGTTGTTTCAGTATGCGCACACACACACTCAGACGTATGGATCAGAGAAGTCCAAGGCACTGTTTGAGAGGCCTCAGTGTGCTACCGGATTATGTGATCTCGCACAGACTGTCAGCCACCAATAAAAATTGCCATAATCTGTCGCGAATATGGAAAGCAGACTACGCTGTGAAGTGTGCGCGCAAGGGTGCACTGATAGGCACCTGCAGGCTAGCCAGGCTAGAGAATAGGCGCAGGAACCAGAGCAACCGTGTCGGCCTGAGTGTGTACACACTTGACACAGTGTGACTGTCGTGCAACTTCATCAGTGGTTAACTGGGCTCTCACATGACAAAGAGCTCACACAGAGGCAACCGCTGCATCGGCGTAATCCTTGTGCACGTCTGATGTAGCACGAAACGCTCGGCGAAAAGGCACGGCACCAAGTGCGTCAGTCTGCGATGGTCGATAGAGAAATGGATGGCAGGACAACATCCGAGCTCAGTATACAGATTGCGAATGGGCTCAACGGAGTGTTCGTTTCCGGGTTCGTCGTCTTTAAAAAACCCAGAATTTGAGCTTTGAGTACATACGAAAAGTAACAGTGCTGCAATGCTCTCATTTTGGTTGTCGGACACTGACGAGAGACTTTTCACTGTCAGTTCGTGAGGTGCACAGACCGAACTTGTAAAAGTGGAAACCACTTCGTGTGGTCTGATATAGTATTCACCAGCTTGTTCTTATTGCAGGACTGGAAGCGGTGTTTCTGTCTTTCCTTGAGGTTTCGGGTCTAGAACCTACATGGCGGTCAAAGTGATTAGCGACTAGTGTATTTTGACCCAACTGTGAAACTCTTGGCGACTTCGGTGGGATTCGAGCCCAAGACAGCAATGGGAAGGCTTTGGTGCAGCCAGCATTCTTAACACCTGAGCTACAAGGTCCTACCAGGAGCGAACGTTTAATCACATCTGGGCTCGAATCCCACCGAGGCCATCGAGTTTCTCACAGTTGAGCCAAAATAAATCTCAAAATCTGCCAAAACACCCATCAAGGTTAATAATCAAAACGCTTGGCCAAGGAAGCTGGAGTGGCCGTTCGTGGTTTGTTTGACGTTACCGGCCAGTGACATCTCGACTCCGGACTGGCGCCGGAGATCTGTATTTGAGTAATTTGCTCAACCAGCACTTTTACACACTCTCGACATCCAACCGACCGTAAGTGAGCTCATAAAAATGTCACTGCGTTGTCGTAGACGTCAGCTGGTCTTTATTCTTCAGAAGGGAATCTACCGACTTCTGCCGAATTTAGCACAGTTAGGCAGAAAAAAATCAGCTTACATCTTTTGACACCTCTGTCTTCATTTTCAAAATAGAGGCATACTGGGAATCAAAAAAGGTTTTATAAAACGGACGCAACATTACTTTGCTATCTAGTAGCATCTCATTTTCAAAAGACTTCAAACTTCAGACATTCTCGTTGACATGTTATCGTCATTTTTCTGCAAGCGACAAAAATTTCCGAACTAAATTTTGTTGGTGTACATTATTTAATGTGCGATGTGTTACCCAGCAGATCCAATACAAATTATTTTTTCCGAAAGCCGCTCTGCCTGTAACTGTCAACTCGGAATGTGTCAAGCCTGAAATCTTTATGAAGACCACGCAATCAGTGACCAATCTCACCTAATTTTAACCGACATTCTAAAAGGGATTTTCGAATTTGAACGATTACTTAAGTAGATTGTAATACTGATTATCGCGCGGCATAATCATAGGACATTTCACTCATTCTAGGGTTCCGACTTGCGAATGCCCATCTTTTCAATCGGTAACACACTCGGTAACCACTGACTAATTAAGTGGTATTTATTATTCCCCTGATTCTCATTACCTTCACAAATTCCAATATATTTTATAGAAAAATATGTTTAAAATATTTTTCTCCGTACTCATTTCGTTGAAAATTAAGTTTTTGACTTATGCTTGATAAAACGGATCTGCGGGATTTTAAAGTCATTTTCAATTCCCAAATAGTTTTTAACCCGATCTATGCTTGCATTTACATTCTGTTCTGGAGCTCTCTAATTTTGGTAATTGAAGAAGCTACCCGATTGACAAAATTGCTGCCGAGAACCCAGTTTGGTAAGACGCAGAAATAAGAACCCTCGTGGTAAAATAGGTGCCCTCGTGCAAAATTCCAGGAAGAGCAAACATTCCCGTGCCCTAACCCTAAAGGTTCTGGTAGTGGGGCGCTCACCGATCGTTCGTACGGAACTCACTCGTTCCGTTTTGCCTTACGGGCCCGTGGTCCAGTGGTAAGAGGTGTTGGACCTCTAACTAACAGGTCGCGAGTTCGAGCCCCAGGTGTTGAACACTTCGGGGTAAGGTATGACTGGCTGACAACGGCTAATAAGCCAGAAATGGCCATTCCAGTTCCCCTTTTCTTTGTCCGTAATATCATTCCGTCTAACGTTAAACTTGACCCAGACCCTAGCCTTGGTCCTGACCTTAGCACTGGCCCAAATCTCTCTGAAAATTAACGCAAGGCCCTCGGAATAGGAGGGTTCATATCCCCATTCCTTGCCCCCATTTTCTAAATGAAGGAATTGTTGGATCTTATATGTTCTTCAGAAGGAAATGGGAAAACTGAAAGTGGTCGAGACAACGCATTCCAGATTCGGCCTAAAAAGCAACATGAATATGTGGGCCGAATTCAGTCAGCTTCACTTTAATAAATGCGCAGTTTGGAAACGGACAGTCAGTATTCTGAAAATGTACACTAATATAGAATGCTGACATGCAATGACAAAAAACTGATAAACTTGGGTCTTAGTTCTCATCTACAACATGTGATATGAGTGCGGAAAGTCACCCTCTGTTTATACTTGCACTCCACAGACTTCTCCATTGTGTGTTGGGAATACTACACAACCACACCGCCGAAGCTACTGGAAAGAGTTTAGATATTACTGTCAATTTTTAAGCTGAACCTAAAAAGCCATCTCTTGGCGAATTCACCCTAACTCTTCCTATTAATATCTAGCGAAGTTAAAAGGTATGAATTTAAATAACGGGACTGTTTCTACATCAAAAGCAATATGGCGAACATTCATGGGCTCCGTGACAGACCGGAACCCTTGCAGCTGCGTCACCTGGAAACGTAACAGTCGAATAAATAAGTATTTGGGTTTTTGGAGTTGTGAACATCCCCATAGCTATATTCAGAAGAAAAGGTGGCGAGCGAACGTTGCTTTCGATAACTTCTAGTCAGGCTAGTACAGTTATATGGGACGGGGTACGACTCTTACGACCAATATAACCCGCTCCACAGGAGCAAGTGAATGAGTAAATGCACCCTGAGACTGTCTGAGCTGGCAGCCTATCTTTGCCTTCTCCGCGTAAAATAGGGTCAGTCAGAACCCTTGCTACTGGGAAAGTTCCCGAGACAGCTTGTTCAAGGCATCTTCTTAGGAGTTCACTTGCAGCGTCTCCTTTGAAAGGGACTTTGAGAAACAACGTTTTCTTCTCGGCGGTCAGTTTGCTGGGTTTTTCGGATCGTTCCGCAAGGTTCTTTGCAATGATCCTGTCAGGATACCCGTTTTCGCGAAGCCAGTTTTGGATTCTCCTAAGTTCCTCATCGATACTATCCGTTAAACAAATTTTTTTAGCCCTTTGTGCCAAACACCTTACTAGATTTTGTTTTTGTCGGATAGGTACGAAACTAGCGAAGCTCGTGTATTGTCCAGATCCGGTTTTCTTCGGACAGACGCTCCTCTGGATGCTACCGTCAGATCTGCTGTTTAAAAGGACATCTAAGAAAGGAAGCGAACCAGCCGATTACATCTCCAACGTGAATTTGATCTATGCATGTGCTCGGTTTACAGCATACGTTGCGGGCATGACAGACTAATTTCACTGTCAAATGAGGTAGCCAGTTCATCTAGATTAATCGATAAAACATACCGCGTCACAATCACTTATGTTTCTTGCAGTGTTAGTAAAACCCATGCAGAAAGCTCACATACCTTCATTTGGATTGGAGCGCTGGAAACATTAGGTTCGGCGCTCCAATGGCCCCATTGATCCTTCGCGGCAAAATGAATGAGTTATCGTGCTTCAGTAATGAAGTCTTAATTTGTGTTTGTCCTTCAAATTCGCAAGGGTCGCCTCTGTGACAATGAGTTATTAGTGCGAAAGGTATATCGACAACGAGGACAAAAACTAAAATAGTCACTTTGGGCGTACTGATGTAATCAGATTTGCACGTCCCAACTACGTGTATGAAGGTCTTTAAAAGGACGATGTGCCTCCAAAAACGAAGTGCACGTCGGATGAAGAGCAGGAGTTGCCTCAAAACATGCCTCGATTTCCGGCTGCGCTGTCAGATGACTAGTCGAAATCTCAAATCAAGTAACCGATGTGACTTTTCCGACACTCATTCCCCCAGCCGGACGGTTAGATTAACAAACTGTTTTTACTCTCCCGCGCCATGGTAGCCGTACCCGTGAGTATCGTTGGCTAACCATGCACCTCTGGGTTTTTTTCACGTAGCTTGTCGCACATAGCACAAATCTCTCGTTCTTGTCTTCTCGTACACAGTCCTCTGTTCGCGTTCCATTTTGTACATGCAGTAAACACACTTGTCTTGGGTGTATGCATTCATGCGGCGCCATGCGCCTGCACAATAAACTCGCACACACCAGGCCTTCTTTTTGTCAGATCTCTTCGCTGCACATGTCATGCGTCACCTGTAGCCCACAATCGCCGATTTCGACAGACATGAGCGTGATTAAGCTTGCACGTATTCAGACCTCAGGGCCAACCCCCGCCGAACAGATCACACGCGCCTATCGTCGACGGCACAACCGCACCTTGTGACGTGTGCATCCAAATTACTCACTCGCACACTCAAGCAAAACAAAACCTTGTTGCGGATGTTTGTTCTCAGGCGTGTTTTCGAGTGAATGGGTGCTCTTAAATTCACATCCGTCTAACTTGCTACCCTG